TCAAAATACCTGGTGTCCAATTTGTCAAAATAAATATGAAAATTTATGTCATGAAATTGTTTCTAAATATCTTGGACCGCCATCTAAGATACGTTATCCTAATTTCTTAAAAACACCAGAACATTTCACAGGTTTAGAACTTGATATATTTTATCCTGAATATGGTTTTGCAATTGAAGTACAAGGAGTGCAACATGAAAAATATATCGAATTCTTTTATAGAGATTCCAATAATTTTATCTGACAGCAAGCACAGGATCAACTCAAGAAAGAATTGTGTGAAGAAAACTGGATTGTTTTAAGATATGTTTGGTACTACGAAGACCCATATATAGTTATCCTAGAGCATCTTCGAGAATTGGGTCTCATTGAATAGGAATAAAACTTTAAATCATTTCACGTGTGCATAACGAATAGTGAATCAATCATGTTATTTTTTTGTAACGTTTTATTGTTACATTATTTTTTGTAACGGATCATAATGAATAGAATCACGTGGCCATAATCTTTGGATTATATCGGTTATAATTGTAAATTATACAAAGAAGCTTATTGTTTTAAAAAAAATCATGTCGTGGAATCCTGACTCCCTTTACCACGACCCCTCCCCCTTCCCCTTCCCTTATTCTTTTCTCCTTTTGATATTTTTGGTAAAAATTCTTCAAATGTCACAGCTTTTAGCCGTTCTGATGTGACGCCAGTTGCATATTTGATTTTAGGCTTCGCAATACGTCGCTGTCCTTCCTTTGCAAATTCCTTAAACCTCTCGATCTTTTTAATAATATTGTATCGTAAACGTAAGAGTGTTCGAATAAGTCTAGGCGCGTGTTTTAAATTAATGTTGAAAGTTGGAATAGTAAGAGTTGGGATTGTGAATGGTGAAAACAGATACAGGCCTGACCCAATAAATATCATTTGACCAATCTCGACTTTATCGGCTACGAACAAGCAAGAAATATATTAGATCCGAAACAAAGAAACACCAAACACTACACATTCAAAAATATTTAAAAAATGTTTACCAAATCCTAGGGCCAGAAAAATACCCAATGTTTCACACACCTTTCGTGTTGGTAGCTCAAGTTCATCATAAACTTATTAAGGACAAAAACACCTTCGTTCATTAACTTCTTTCTGTCTCCATTAATCTTGTCTGGATCCGGATTACTAGGACCATTCGCCACTTCGAGCAAAAATGATGGGATTTGATTAGGTCGCTCAAAAAACTCCAATATGCCATCAGCTTTATAAATAAAATCTCGAACATCTATCTTGGTAGAAATATCTCGTTCACATGAGAAATACTGCAATGATTCAACAAAACAAAATGTAATAAAAAACATGTATGCTAATACATGAGCTGTTCATGTACATTCAGGAGTGTTCTTCATGATGCCATTCAGTTTTATGATTGTATCAAGGTGACTAGAGATGCTCTTAACAATAAAAATGTCGAGCATTTTTAATTGGTCATAACTTTCGGCTGGAATAGGACAGGTGTTAGATAGATAGTGAAATTTTTCAGATAAACTGTTCAATAGATTCATTTTTTCCTCCATTTTAGCAATGATTTTCTCAAACTCTTCGCTGTTTCCTTCATTAATTGTGTATTTATCAATATTATTTTTGTCTTCTGTACCTTCTGTTCGATCAATGCTCCCTTCCTCTTCTTCCTCTATAATCTGGTCAAACAGCGCTATATACTTACGTGCCTCTGCACTTACATATTTATCTTCATCCTTCAATCTTAACCTCTCAAACAACAATCTCAATTCTTTCTCGCTCAAAAGTTCATGTACCCAATTTAGTGTATCCTTATCTCCTAAATCAATAATATAATAATTTGTCCTAGCATCTTGAGCGGGCCATATTGACTTGGGTTTATCGTAATATGGGAATTCGACATTGCTGAAGCTTCGGCCACAGAATCCAACACATTCTTTTGAGTAGTATCTTCTTCGGTCACTGAACTCTCCAGATCCTCTCGTGTGGTGATTTCTTTTTCTTGCTCAATTGTACACATACGTTTTTTGGTGGTGAACATTCACCTGTATCCTTATTCTTTAGGCAACTTGTAAATTTTTCTCGTATTATTTGATCTTGTTGTGAAGTCAATTTTACAACTGTAGTAGCGTGTTCCTCCTGCAAAAACAGAAGGATAGAAACAAGATGAATACATTAGTGTTTCATGAAATGTGCATGGAATATCGACAAAACATGCCCCATACCATTAAAGTTGTGTGTTCTGATATAGTTTCCAACTTTCGCTTTTGTGTTGACGTAACATTCTTCCAGAATTCCTCAATTAACGGCGATTTCTTTTCCTTCTCTTAACGATATATTATTTAGTTAGTAAAAGCCAAATTCACCAAATATTAAACAACTACAAGATACAATTCATGTAACACCAGTTGAAAGGACAGAACCACTACGAGCCATAGATCATACACTTCCCGACCGTAGTTAGGAGTGTTAGGTGATTGAACGCAGGCCGTAGCCCCATCCAAAGGGCATATTCCCCTTCAGACCCATCCACTTCCAATTGGATAAGAAATCATTCATACAGGACGAAACCACCACGAGTCGTAGATCATATACTTCCCGACCGTAGTCAGGAGTGTTGGGTAATTGAACGCAGGCCGTAGCCCCATCCAAAGGAAATATCACCTTCAGACCCATCCACTACTGATAGAATGTACTTTCTAATTACACTTGTTGTGATGGGGTAAGAAAAATACTTAACCTGGAATGAACAAAATACCCTGCTAACCAATTTCACTAAATCCACAGGCGCTTCCCTATAACTTATTATGCTTGTTAGGTTGTGAGCATATCGTTCATGTTCTTCTTTTTTGTCGAGCAGAAAATCACTGCAACATTAGCGGTAAAGTAAAAAACTCAGCAAGGACCATTCGAGGTCAGTTTTGAAGTAGGTAGGATCGCATAGTGAGATTCCTAACAAGAAAGAATATTTTATAATCACCGAAAAGGAATATGCCGAGAGAATAAACTTACCTTCTATTGTTTCGACCAATGTAGATGTATCTTTTTCTTCCGAAATCATATCGATTTGTTATAATATAATTTACAAGAAGTATTTTCAGCACAGTAATCTACTTCGCAGACAAATAACGTGGCAAAATAATTCACAAGTGGTATGTATTATAGAAGGAATTCGAATGTAATAGAATCTGCATGCATCATCAGGTCATGCGATACACTGATTACCAAATTTAATTAGTACCCCTTACATCTGCATATCTGTATGAAAACATCTCAAAAACAGATATATATATATATATATCATGTGATCTTGACCCAGTGATCAGGTCATGTGATCTGTGATGCAGTCTTCATGATTTTGTCTTTTACATATTTGATTTTCTCTACACTTAGTTTCAAGATAGCATTCGCGAAAAAAGATTTAACTAAACCTATACATGTTACCCAAATTCCAAAATAATTTGAGATTTGGATGATAGAATAGGTTCAAATTATTTGAACTTCAAAGATCAAAAAAGCCTAAAGCCCAAAATATTTTTAACAGCTCAAATTATTTTTGGCAGTTCAAATTATTTTTGACAGTTCAAATTATTTTTGGCAGTTCAATTTATTTTTGGTAGCCCAAATTATTTTTGGCAGTGGAAAAAATATTTGAAACCAATTACTTATTTAAAATTTGTGACACAATAGATCTGATAATCATTTTTTATTAATTTTTTTTTTTTAATTTTTATTTTTTTTTTTAAAAAAAAAATAAAACTAAACTTATATATTCTTTGCCTTAATAATATCCTTAATATGCTACCTTTCTTCTTCTTCTTACCTTTTGCTGGTTCGTGGGGATACCATGAGATTGAAATGGCTTTGAAATGAGTTTCATGAACTTGGAGAAATGTATGACGAAATGGTGAGTTTTTTTTTAGTTATTTTTTTTTTAAAAAAAAATATAAATAAGTGAATAAATAACTTATATTTACCTTGCCCTCTTTCTCTTTTTTATCTTTAGCTAGTTCATGGGAACACTGTGAAGTTGAAATGGATTTCAAAATAGGTATCATGGCTTAGAGGACGTACAACGAAATAGTGAGTTTTTTTTTTAGTTATTTTTTTTTTTTAAAAAAAAAAAAATAAATAAATAAATAAATAACTCATACTTACCTTGCCCTTTCTTATATTCACTTTTAGCTAGTTTGTAGGGATATCGTAAAATTGAAATAGGCTTTGAAATAGGCTTCACGAGCTTAGAGGACATACTACAAAATGATGAATTTTTTTTAGTTATTTTTTTTTTTTAAATAAATAAATAAATAACATATATTTACCTTGCCTTCTTTCTTCTTTTCACCTTTAGCTGGTTCGTGGGGACACCATGAGATCGAAATGGTTTTGAAATTAGTTTCGCGAACTTGGAGGGACGTATGACGAAATGGTGAATTTTTTTTTTTAGTTATTTTTTTAAAAAAAAAAATATAAATAAGTGAATAAATAACTTATACTTATCTTGTCTTCTTTCTTCTTTTCATCTTTAGCTAGTTTATAGAAATACTATGGGATCAAAATAAACTTCAAAATGGGTATCACAGCTTGAGGGACATATAGCAAAATTGTGATTTTTTTTTTAAAAAAAAAAAAATAAATAAATAAATAACTCATACTTACCTTGTCCTTTCTTATATTCACCTTTAGCTAGTTCGTAGGGACACCGTAAAGTTGAAATGGGCTTCACGGGCTTGGAGAATATATAGCAAAATGGTGAGTTTTTTTTTAAAAAAATAAATAAATAAATAAATAACTTATATTTACCTTGCCCTCTTTCTTCTTTTTACTTTTAACTAGTTTATGGGGATACCATGGGGTCGAAATGGATTTTAAAATTGGTATCACGATTTGGGAACGTATGACGAAATGGTGAATTTTTTAGTTATTTTTTTAAAAAAAAAAAAATAAATAAATAAATATCTTATATTTACCTTGCCCTCTTTTTTCTTTTCATCTTTAGCTGGTTTATGAAGATACAATGAGGTCGAAATGGGTTTTAAAATGGGTTTTAAAATGGGTTTCGTGAACTTGGAGGGATGTATAGCAAAATGGTGAGGTTTTTTTTTAGTTATTTTTTTTTTAAAAATAAATAATTTATACTTACCTTGCCCTCTTTTTTTTCAACTTTAGCTGATTCATGGGAACACTATGAGGTCGAAATGGACTTCGAAATAAGTTTTGCAAACTTGAAGGGACATATAGCAAAATGGTGAGTTTTTTTTCTGTTATTTTTTTTTTATTAAAAAATAAATAAATAAATAACTTATACTTACCTTGCCCTCTTTCTTCTTTTCACCTTTAGCTGATTCATAGGATATTATAATGTTAAAATGGACTTTATAAGCTTGATTATTTTTTTTTTAATAAAAATAAAAATTAATTTATTTAAACATGAATATATATATAAATTAATTTAATATATGTATAACATGTAATATCTAACACCTCCTTGATACTTTTGTAAAGATAATTATATAACTATCATGATATAAATTTTTTAATCTATTTTTTAATTTACCTGATTTCTGTATTTTTTTGTAATGGATGAAGATAGTTGTGAAGAACTTGAGGTATCAGGATCTAACAGAAAGTATAAAAGTCATCCAAAAAATGAAATCTGATAATATTTTGATATTTTAACAGTTAATTCTTCAAGTGACAAAAAGGATTTACATTCTGGAACACAAAGTAAATTCTGCAAACAAAAATGGACATGTGGAAGAACTTCAGATATGATATCACATATTGTGCTATATTGTCCAAAATCACTAGTAGAAATATGTGTTACATACCTTGAAATATTAAATAATGAATTATTTAATGATAATGATGACAATGATTCTACTAAAAAATTAAAAAACAGTAAATAAAGTATAAAATATATTTATTTACTTGTTAAGTTATAAAATAAAGTCGAAGCAAGTCAATAAATATTATTAAATATATTTTAAATTATTGTCTTTTATTTGGTGTATTTTGATATAACAATAATAAAAATACAAAGATATAAATTTATTTCTTTTTGAAGAGTTTCGTATGAATTGTTTAAAGAGTAAAAGTAAAAATAAACAAAAGAATACATAGTTAAATAATAAGTCATATGAGGTAACTGATCTTGTTACATAAATAAAAAAACATTAATTTTCGAAGAAAATTTTGAAACGATAATCAATGATATGATAAACTTCAAAAGATATTATTAACAATACAATATCAATTGTGATAAACTTTGATAGATATCATTGACAGTACAATATCAATTGAAAATCGTAGTGATATAAATACAAGTGATGATTATCGAAATGATATATTATGAATATCTAATATAAACGAAGATTATTAATACAAAATTATTACGAAAATGATAATATTTGTAAAATTTTGCATATAAAAATATCAAAATCAATAATTTTCGAAGGTTATCGATATGAATTTACTATGAAAACAATAATTTTTGTAAAATTTTGTATATAAAAATATCAAAATTGATAATTTTTGAAAGTTATCAATATAAATTTACTACAAAAACAATAATATTTACAAAATTTTGTCATATGAAAATATTAAAATTGATAACTTTCAAAGGTTAGTGAAGACCTTTGAAAGATAACATATCGAAAAACAACAAAATACTTATATTAACGTTAACTTTCAAAAATTTTTACTAAAAAAATTTTCTAATGTAATATGAGATTATTGAAATCCTAATAAAACTTCTAGATAAACTCTATTATTTTCTTTTATGTGTCAGGTTACTTCAATTACTTGATCAAGAGTAAGATTGTTTCAGAAAGTAAAATAAAGATTTAATTAACAAGCAATTTTTCTATACAGTCCTTTGGTGAATTGATATATTTTATTAAATTCAATTCAATGGTTATTATAATCAATTCTTTTAATTAAGCGCTTTATTTCTAAAGTATATTTATCAATAGATTCAGTGAGATCTTATACTCGTCTTTCTAATTCTGATCTCTATTATATAATTTTTTATTAGTTTTTAAATTGTCTGAGAAAAAGAGTCTTGAAATATTAATTATTTGGGTTAGCCCAGAATTGGAATTAGGTTCTCATATTGACTTCTTGTAATTTATATCATGTTCTAGTTTCATTTAATAGATATCTTCTAACTACATATAACTTGTAATTGTTATTGTATCTATTTACTTAAGCATTTTATTCAAATTCTTCAAGTCATTTAATTAGATTTTGATTTCCTTCCTCAAAGTGAGGTATAGGTACAGTATTCTAATTTCCATCTGATAAATTAAATTTTGAGGTGCATTTACAATTGTAGTAGCTTGTTAAATATTCATGTTGTTAAATAAAATAGGAATAATAATAAATATATATGATAATTTGTAAAGGATTATAACTATACTAATACTAATAAGAGATAAATATATAAATATAAAAATAAAGATAAAAGATATAAAATATTACTAAGAAAAATAATAACTAATACTATTGAAAAGAATAACTTTTAAGAAGTTCTAAATCTTTCAAAACTTGTATGCAATTATTTCTAATTTTAAAAACTAAATTTAATTATTTTTTAATATTATGTAATTCCTCAAGATCAATTAATTTTCAAATTGGATCTTGATCAATAGAGGTTTGATCAACTATATATTTTATTTTCTGATAATAAATTTCAGTTAATTATAAAATAATATTATTCAATTTTTCTAATTCAATTATAAATAAAAATATAAATTAATAAAAATATAAGGAAATAAAAGATAAATAAAAATAAACTAAACTAAACTAATAAATTTTCACAACTTCATAGGAGGCACCAATTTGTCACATGTCCAGTGTGACAATATTTTGAAAAATAGAGAATCTTCTTTAGTAAAAACTAACAAAAGTTATATAATTATCATACTATTTTCAATAATCTCACTTGATCAATTATAGCAAATTACAGAGTTAGAAAAAAGAGTCAACTTAGGAATAAATTCTTTATTGTGATAGGATTTTTACAACATCAAGTTAGTTTGTAACTTAGTAAGATATATG